CCGTTCCCTGGTGGAAGGAGCTATGATAAATAATAGAGCGGCACCTCATTAATTCTGCACAAGCAAGCATGGCAATCGGGAGTAGTTCCTCACAGCCGAGACAGCCGACTTCCCCCTGCTGCTGAGCGCTGGCAGGGTTTTCCGGGAGAGGCGGGGGAAAATGTATTTTTGTACCCGCTGACACGCCTGGGGAGAGCAGGCGATTTTCTACGCATGCATGACTCTTCTCCCGCTTGCAGATTTCCAGACAAAGACGGGCTAGTGGGGCGGTCCTCTCATCTGCTAGCTCCTGAGGTTTTGGGTTGTTTTGGATTTTTGGTTTTGTTTATTTTTGTCTTCTTTTTCTCCTCCTTCTTTTTTTCTTCTTCGGCAGCGCAAACTCACCAGCGCAGACCTATCCAAAACACCTCTGGGTTCCCAGCAGGTGTGTGTGTGGGTGTCCACAAGTGCTTCGCAAAAATGATGCCTTTCTGACACAAAATGCAGCATAGGCTGTGAAATGATGGTCAGAATAATTTGTATCCTACTCTTTCCTCTGCTCTCATTGTCTCCATGCATTCACGATTTTTTCTCTGGCCATGCAAAAAAATACCAGCTTCCTCAGTCTGATGACAGTGCCAGTATATTGAGCTGCAGGAACTTAGCTAATTGATTTAAAAATAAATTAGAAAACCTTTTCTTGTAGAATACCTTTTCTTGTAGTGGGGTGGTGAAAATCTGAAGTGCCTATTGCAAAGCCCCTAAGGCTTTTGGACATCGTTCTGATAATTTTGTTAATGTTACTAAATTTTGTTAGTGAATACTGCATCAGCAGATGTTTGATTCACTAAAAGTGACCATAGTTTATCATTGCAATGATGTATGGGAATCTCTGAGAAAGAGCATGATGCGGAATAGAAAAGTAGGCTACTCTGAAGAGGGGGTATTGCCTAACACACAGTTGACCAAACATTTCTGTTGCTTTATGACACCCGAAATAGCCTGAATCTCTGTTCCTGCTCATTTTGAGGCATACACCCCCTCCCCAATCCTTTTTTTTTTTGGCCAGAGAAAGGTTATTAGAATTATAGTTTGTAGTTTATTTGGGGCTGTTTTGTGTCAGTAACATATTCTGGGAGCTGGACTTCTCAAGGCTATGTATTTATTATGGGTATGCTTGTACTCCAGGATGGCTTAGCCTTGATGAAACTCATCTTTCTTGCAGCATTGTGCACAGCAGTCTCTTTCCAAGTCTGCTGTTCTAGGAAACTGTGTCTTTTTCTTAAGTGAAATGGTGCATGGTTAAAAATGTGTTTTATAAAAAGGGTAATACTGTTTTCTTGGCACGCAGTGTAAAAACAGTGAGGAATATATTCAGCTGGTGAAAAACCACTTGAATCAGTTTTAGCAGATGCTGAGGTAGGAGAAAACATTGTTTTGGCTGCTTTGAATAGACAATGTGTTTTCAGGCGGAAGCTGGATATGAAAGGATTTTTAAAAATACATCCCATGGTGCAAAGTTCCAATGATGTTTACCCTGCCAGCTAAAAAAGCAGACAGGAACAGTATTTTCAGAAAGAGGAAACCGAGGAGGAAAGAGGTACCCACATACAGCTTGCATGCAGGAGGCTACCTCAGGGAGCGTGTTTGTCCTGTGATGAAATAGACAGAAATCCTTGTACTTTCTGTGTGAACTGGATGAGTGAAGAATGTTACATGGGCATAGGTATGGCTAAGAGTAGGCAAATCAGCCCCAGAACAACAGTCTGCTGCTGTAATTCTCACAGAGATGCCAAAAGTGAGCTTTGTATCTCCAAGAGAACCAGGATATATGTAGCTCGGCATGTGTTGCAGATTTTGGCAGAAAAGTGCAAAGAGGTCATAGTGAGAAACTGATAACTGTGTTGTGTTCCTGGGGTAAGCTGTGCCCTGAATGATTATGCTCATTTCCCAAGGAAAAAGCTCCTCGCAGCCTTGGCCTGACCAGTGTTGGCAAGTGACACCTTATAGCCCTGTGGTGCATAGTTGGGTACCAGCAGGGGGTTAGCACTGTGGCTGAGGCGAGGGTGCTCATAACTCATGGGTCCAAGGGGCTGGGCAGTGTGGGAGATCTTTGCATCTGCCAGAAAGAGGTTCTCAAGGACATGAGGGGTGACAAAGACCACTGACTTGCAGGCATCCTTGCTGCAGATGCTTCTCACTCAGGCCGTTGCCAGGGTGAGTGTCCTGGTGGAGAGCTGGGAGACAGTGAACAGGGCAGCAGCAAAATCGCAAAGGAAAGCGTGCGTTAGGCCTGACTTCCCACGTGCTTCCAGGTGGTGTTACATGGGATGGCCCAGAACCAAAATCCCATCAGGGCCCTTGGGTGGCCCCTTCAATCAGGAGGCTGGGAAGCATGGATGGTGCTTCTGGCTATAGTCTTGTCCCTCCACTGGCAACACTGCAAAGTTGTGTGGGAATTAAAATCAGTATTTCAGGAGTCCTGGAATGAAAGCAGAGGTGAGGTCAGAGGGAAACTTTTATTCTTACCAACGTGGTTTTTTTCCTTTTATATAAAATGTAGCGGACAGCACGAATTTTCGCAATTCCTTGCACCTCCAATATTAGTCTAAGAAATGGGGAATTTCTCTATGTTTACCTTCAAAAATACAGGCACAAGACTGACTTTTGTCCACAGGGAGAGCAGGGGAGTTCATGTGGAGGCATCTTGCCTTTGGGTTCCTGGCCTTGTTCTGCCACTCTGGACTGTCTTCCCTGGGGGAGAGAGTGTCGATTTGAAGCTCTCACTTCACTGGCAGGTGAAGGTGGCAAATTGGACTTAAAAAGCTTTTCATCCTCATCTTTTTGCTTTCATTCCTTGTTATGCTCAGTGTTGCTTAACAGTTTGGAGATTAAAATCTTTTTTATAAATTATCTAAGGATGTAACTGTTCAAATATAAACCTGAAAACAGTGCAGTAGATTGTGGTCAAGGCACATTTTAATGAGGACAAATTCCACTGGATTTGCACCTCAGTGCTCTATACTCCTCTGCCTCATTGCTGGCATAGAATTTTATGAGTGTTTCATCAGAGCTTTGTAAATGTGCATCTGTGGTGATTTACTGGTGCTTTAGAATCCCAGAGCGTACTTGGCTGCTCTCCAGCTCTGTTTGATAATGGTTCCTCAAGAGGAAATGCCTAATAGATGTTTGTGAATGAATTAGTTTCCTCTCTGGATTTGGTTGTTTGTTTTCTTTTTTTCCTTTACACAGGTCTCTCAGGCAGCTGCAGAACTCCAGCAGTACTGCATGCAAAATGCCTGCAAAGATGCCTTGCTTGTTGGTGTTCCTGCAGGGAGCAATCCCTTTCGAGAACCGAGATCCTGTGCCCTACTCTAAAATCAGGTAATAAAAGTCACAGATACCACAACTCTGGTTTGAAACTCATGTCTTAGCAGGGATAAGGGCACATGGTGATAGTTGTTTGAATGTCAAGTTCTTGATAGCAAAGTGTTCACCACTTCCCTGCTGGCTCAACAGATTGTTTTCAGTTTCTTTTAGGTGTGGCATGTGTCTTTCCTACAGTTCTTTCTAGAGGTGTTTAGTTTGTTCAGTCAGTTTTTGTGCTTGAGCAGCTCTGGGGTTATTGGCAGCATCCAAAATAATAAAAACTGTCAGTGAAATACGGTTGTGTTTGACACAGCTAAACATTAAAAGTTGTATATGCAGCTTGAAGAAGACAAAGCTGTGTCAGTTACATGTGTTTTGATGACCAGCTCACAGCTTAAGTTAGAAGCTTATTAAGATGGGGTTTGTCCTCAGAGTCAGATTGCCCTTCATTTAGCTGTGCCTGTCCTTAGGGGTTTGGTGCCGCACCGAAAGTGCGGAAGCAGAGACAAGCTGAGGCAATCTGTAAACACACCTGTCGTAACCTTTACGGGCACAGGTCTAAAAGATGAGAAACTCCCTAAGCTCTACTTGCCTTAGTGCTCTGCATTGCTCATACCTGCCTGACACCTGCAAGGTGGGTGAGTGACTGTCCAGTGTTTGTAGAGATTTGAGATCCAGTTCTGTGATTCCCACTCTTGTCTCTCCCACCTGTGATACAGGTATCAGTCATTGCAGCGGGAGGAAGAAAGGCCACGTGTGCTAGCAGTCTTGGGCTAGATCAACCCTAACTTTTGTTGGATGATTTCACTTCTTCTGCATGACAAGCAAAGTGGAAGTAGGATATTGAGACGGGGTTACTTTTCTTATAAAGACAAAATAAGAGTAGTTCCTTCTAAAGAACTGAAAAGGCTACAGAGAGAGGAAGAACTGAATTCTAGTCTTTCTTTGAGAGTGCTATCAAAGTGAAAATTAACGTTTTCTTTAAGGGCAGAATTTAAACTAGAACATGAAGTACTTGTAAAATCTTCCCCTTTCTGCTGCTAGCGTTCCTGAGCTTGCAGTTGTGCTGATGCGTTATTAATAGCATGGATTTGATTGTTGCTACATAGGTTTGACGAAAGAGAATTGAACCTGAAGAAAGAGAACAACTGAGCATGAGCTGCGCTTCTGGAAAAACTTTGGGAGGGAGGGGAAAGCACAGGCAGAAGATTTTCTTAATTTAGGTGATACCCTTAATGATTTCTTCAAATAAGATAAAATTGATAGTGACTGTTGCATGTGTACTTCTGTTACTGAAGCAGCCTTTCTACACTTTTGTCTTTGTGTGTCTGTATGTATTTCTAGGATTCAAGTTTGATTGCATCATCCAGACAGTATACAAAATACTTTCTCAAATAAGTTTGATGGCTGATTTATGACACCTTTAGGAATGTATAGCTCAGCCCAAGATGTCATTTAGCCATCTTTTGCTGTGACAGAACAATTATCTAGTTTATTGTTCTCTTGTTATCTTAGGATCATAAAAAATAAGAGCAAAGTCAAAAATCCAATTAAAAAAAAATTAGAATATTCAAGGACAACAACATCCAACAAAGGAAATTGGTTATTCAGTTTTTCTCAGTGCAAAGGAGCTTATGTGTTGTAATTTGTAAGACAAATTTATTGGCTTAGGAAGGCAGCATTTAATAAATGTTGTTTTTCTCTTACAGGGAAGGCCATTGAAGAGTTGCCTTCAAGCCTGACATGAATAACAACTGCCCTTCCTTCACAAGAAAACTCTCTCTTTGTCCTAACTTTTGTGTGGCTAAAACATCATCCTAGATATTTATCTGTTTGCTCTTGTGTATCTGTACTTCACTATCTTTTGCTAGTATTCTTAAAGTTTTTTAGGATAACTCTTGTTCTTTTCATAGTCATCACTGTTGTTACTACACTATGCTAACTATACAAATATTACTTGAGAAGTTTACATTTTAGAAAAGAAAAAAACATGATTTTTTTACCAAATTATTTACTCCTATCTTGGTAAACTGTTACACTGTAATGGTAGCAAAAGTTATTTGTATTTTCCAAAATAAAACATCCCAAAAGTGAATTGTTAAAGTATAAAAATAAATGCTGTTAGTACTGAAGTAATGTTCTCAGGAGGAGTTTTGCTTCCTATAACAAGACCTGGAATGATCTACATTTTTTTTCTAGTGCATCTAAGTCCATAAATGACGCATATTGGAAACTGCTGGACACAATGAGTAGCACAGGCTTGATTCCTACGGCATGTTTCTTGCAAAACATCTAATGTGTAATACTTCTCCTAATTTGTATTTGTAAAGGCCCTTGATATGTTTAAGATGTGACCAAATAGACACTAAAAATCCACAATCACCCAAAGATAGTTGCATGCATAATTGTAAAGGTTTGCAATACACAACACTTACTAAAATGTGCTTGGTTGTTTGCCTTCAGTTTTTTTATAGAGCACTTTTACAAAGACAACTAACTTTTTAAATAGTTTTTTGGTTTTGTTTACTTTTTATTGTTTGTATTAATCTTTTAGAAGTTTGGAAATAAAATTCCTTTCCCTAAACTCATTGTTTCATTGTAACAAAGAGCAGATATTGTAATGAAGAGGGCACTTTGATTTTTGCAGTGAGAAGGGAGGCATCAAGCCGTTAGGCTTTTTGGGAAGAGAAGGATGTTGGATTTTTAGAAAAACTTGTCATCAACAGAAAAAACCCTATTTATAACCATTTGCCATTTTGGTGGTCAACAGTAACAATATAATCAGGCTCACATATTTTGAAACTGTAAGGAAGTACTTTGCAATCTGAGTAATTTTCATTAATGCTAACTGAAATGAAGCAACGAGTGTCCTGCAGGCAGTTCAGTCTTTGCCAAAACGTTTTCATGCTTGCTGTTCTGCAGGAAGACACTGAAATGAGAGTCATCATACTGCCAATATGTGTTGTGCCACTAAATACAGAGGAGAACATCCTTCCTTATGAGCTTTTCTTCGCTCTGGCATCCTTTCATCTCGGGCTGTTTGAACACGGCAGTTTTTCTTTTCATACTTGACACATGCACACACTGCGGAAATCCAGAGGAAGCATGGTTATTCTGACTTACACAGAGGTGACCGGAGGCTGAGAGTGAGGTCAAAATGCTCAGGTCAGGGAGGGAGCAGGATGAGAGTATGCATCAAATGCCTTTGAACGGCCAGCATCTGGCTGCTGGCCACTCCCTGCCAGGCAAGCCCTTTGTATTTCTTTAAGTTCCCACCATAAATCCTTCCACCATCCCCACATCTGTTCCTCTCCCCAGGCCCTCCTGCTGCATGCTCTTTTCTGTTTAGCATCCTCACTTGGAGCTTGGATTCTGGAGTGGCTGGTG